CGCCCGCAGGCCCCGCGATGGCCGGGCGGGGGGAACGGCGCTGCCGGCGGGCGCGCAACCACCGGCCTTCGGTCTTTCGGGCCCCGGCTAAAGGCAGCGGGGGCTGCCCGGGTTTGGGAAAGGCGCCGAAGAGGCCGAGGTTGCTCGCGTTGGGTGAAGGGGCGTGTGGTAGCAGGCCACTCGTGCGGTCCGAAATGCTGGCTGTTGGCCCCGGCCCCGAGCTGCTCCTTTCGAAGAGGTGGGCTAGGGCCGCTGGGAGAGGAGAGGAGCTGCCGAGGCTACAGGCTCACGCTGTCGCCGAGCTTTCCGGTGACTGCCCGGGACTTGGCGTTCCTTGACCTCACCGACGGCTTGTGCTGTGCCCGTGGTGTGTGTGGAAGGTGTTGGGCGGGCGCTCTCCACTGATGCGCTTCGGTACCAGTCTGCGGGGCCATTTACCTGTGATCCCTGCTGAGAGGACAGCGGGATAACACCTTCCCCCTTCAGAGCTTACATTTTTCATATTAGCCTCAGATTAATCTGTATTAGATACACTTGTAGTGTCTCGTTTCTTTACTCCTGGTCTTTCCCTTCCTCTCCTCAAGTCCATGTCCTAGACATAAAAGGATGTAGATTTGGAGCCTGTATTACGGCAGTTGTCTCCAATTTTAGTGATGCTGCAAGACCATAGACAACTTCACCTGTTTGGCCTCCTCATTATTTTGGAGACATAGGAGAATCATCCTTTTTGTTTTCTTCAGTCGGCTTATGTTAGATCCTCTGATCCTGTGGTCTTTTCAGCATTGTCTTTTTCGCCACTCTTTTGAGAACTCTTCCATCCAGTAGAGCAATATATGCCGAAGTGACTTTTAGTTTCAATGTAAAAACTGCCTATTTAACAAATGGATAACTTCTCTAGTTACGAGAGTTACAGTGCATTTTTTGTTTTGTTTGCAACTGTAGGGGCTAGAAATACTGTTTTAGTGGAATTCTGTTCCTGTACACAGCAGGGGAAAACTTTCTGACGTAGAAATGAATGTCAAGCTACAAAATATATGCAAGAAGTGATTATTGCCGGAATTGTCTATGGCTCTGAGAACCTGAAGACAAAACTGGTTTCTTTGTTGAAGAAAACAATGACCGTTTTTTTCAACATATGGAAACTGTTTAGGGCTTTGCAAATAGTCATAATAATGAAAAAGCTAAAAACCATTATGGTTAGTGCAGAACAATACTAGTATAGGAAGAGGAAAGTAAACTAGAAGTGTTTAATATTGTAATCTCAAAATACACAGTGATGGTAATTACCTGGAAAATTGCAATCTCTAATTTCCCCCTCTCTGTTTTGCATATGTATGCCAAAATATTTTGAGGGATGTTGAATAGTGGCTTGGAAATAAAATGTTGTGTAGGCACAGAGGCTTTTGATCTTGCAGCAAGAGCGTGTTGTTGACCTCAGTGGGACTCCAGTGATGGCACAGGGCTTTATCAGTGCAGAGCAGTTGCAGGATTGAGACCATAACTTTTAAATAAGAGTTCTACAGGTAAGATGATACCTTGTTGCTAAAGTTGGGATCAAGTTTAGAAGAAGGTACTGTTTTAGATGATATGTAATTCTCTCAGATATGTTTTTAACAAACTTAAAAATCATTGGTTACAGAAAGACTAAAAAGTTCTAGAGAATTCCTTTAGAGTAGTAGATCCCTCAATGTATTTAACTTTTTTCCCTCTAAAAACAGCTAAGTAGCATACCACTTCTAGCATTTTTATGCGCAAAGTAAGAATGCAAGGCAGATAAGGTTAATTTGACGTTGTCTGAGTGTTTATCTTGTGTGTAACTTAGTAACTGTGTAATTTGCATACTTAAAATAAAGGAAATAATGTGGGTTGTAGTGACACAGTATGTTTCCTTCTGCAACAAAGCCTGGTTGAGAGGTTCTTGCTCCTGCCCTTATGCCACAAGTCTTCTCTTCACTGTGCTTGTAGAACTACGTGTGAGGGAGGCTGTGTTGTAAGACTGGGTCACTTTCTCATTACTCCCCTTGCGAAACACTGAGGTTAAACTCCTCAGTATCTGTAAGCTGTTGTACTATGGTGGTTAGAGAAGCGGTGAACTTCGTTATGGGTGTAAGTGGGCTGGGGAGAATGGGAGCTTCTTAAACTGGTTTTGCTTCCAAATAAAAACATCAGTGGAAAACTCCTGTCGACTACGTATTCTAATCCTTTAAAAGAGCTATAAAGATTATTCTTCGTTATAAGGTATTACTGACAGTTACTAACGCTTCTATTTTGTGGCAATAAAGTGCTCTAATTTCATGAAACTACATTAACATATGTTCGTTGCTCATTTCACTGTTGCTTTAACTATAGAATTAACTTTTCTATAAAGGTAACAATCATTGTGTTAGAGCAGTGGTAAGTGCTTTTGTGTATTTGCATGCAGATTTAGACAAGTATTCTTTACAAGTCTTATCTTTGCTTTCATGTCTTAAAAGGGACAAACTAATGAAGGGAGCCCTGGAACTCTGCATATTTTTCAGTGCATACTTAGAGACAA